GGCCTCAGTTTCCCTACATGTCAAAGAGGCTGTGAACAGGCTTACCTCACAGCACTTGAGGGTTCAGTGAATGGGTCTATGGGAAGTGACTGGAACATTGCCTGGCGATGTGTGTGCAGGAAGTGCTCGCTATGAGGATTATACGTGCCTACGAAAAAAAGAGAAAATGCCCGTCATTTGAGACCTGTCTGGAAGCACCTGTATTTAGTGTCGATTTCTTCTTGGCTCCAACATACACAATACTGATTTTATCAGGAAAATACTAACAAAGCCACAGTTTTATTCAATTTCTGATACTTGCTTTAAAAAAAAAATACCCGGCCTTTTTCATGACTCAGTAAAAATGCTGTTCTTCCGCTTCATTTGGGGGACCAGTGGGGTTCACTGTTTCACCTGAGTACACGTTTGAGTGCCTACTGTATTCAGGCTCCACAGGGCAGACAGGATGACCAGAGTGAGTCTCCAGATTCAGGGAGCTCAAGTCTAGGTGACAGCCCCGTGACCATAAGTAAGACACACAAGCCAAGGGGGCTCTTGTGAGAGGACCACCAACTTACTTGGAGGGAAAGCACTCCAGGAAGGCTTCCCAGAGGAGGGGGCTTCCTGTCCCAGAGGTCTGAGATCTCAAAGCCTCACCAAGTACTAGTTCGTCTCTCCAGCCTCTCACATATTCCTAGAGAAAAAGCTAGCAGAGCAGGTCTGGTAGAACCCAGCTGTGCCCAGGAACCGACAAGATGCCCCAGGCAGAACCATTTGTGCCTTCCCTCTCTGCCAAAGGCCCCTTTGAGGTTGAGGTCCAAACCTACTGGGGACGGTCCACCGTCCAGTTGTATTGCAGACCAGAGCAACAAGCTGGCAGCCCACATGACAGGTACAGTGCACAGATGTGTTTGAGTGAACCATGGAGTGCTTTCTTTGTATTGAATTGTCACAACATTTAAAACCCAGGAGATTTCATGTAAAACTCCAAATTTCCAGCTTCTCTTGAAAAATTCGCTGAGGCAGCCTCAAGACTGAATTCTCTGGGACAGCCATCAGGGGGCGACAAGCAAGATGGCTGTGCCCCCCAGCAGGCCTCCACCCCACCTGGGCCACCTCCGCGGCTTTCCCTTTGCCTGCCTGGCCTTCATCTGACACCCTGTCTAAACACCAGTCCAGGGCTCTTCCGTCCATCCTGGTAACAAATATGAATTGATCACTGGGCGCGTGCTGGGCCTTTCCAGGCACTGGGGTCCTGAGAGTGAACATTACATAAACTGTCCTGCCCTGTGGGGCTGCAGTCTCCTGGGGCAGTGGGGCAGGCAGGCAGGGCTGAGACAGATGATAAACATGGTAAATAAGTAACTTATTGAGCATTTTAAAAGAGGATGAGCATTACAATCAAATAGAGCAAGATAAGGGGAATTGGGGTACCGGACAAAGGGGGGAGGGCTTTTAAACAGGGCAGGTCCCAAAAGCCCTCCCTGGGAAGGTGATATGGAAGTAAAGAGCTGGAGGAAGGGAGGGTAGAGCGATACGGGTGTCTGGGGCAAGAGGAATCCTGCAGGGAAAGTCAAGAAAAGTCAATGCTGAGCTGGGGGTGAGCCTGGGGTGTTGGAGGAGCAGTGAGGAGGCCCGTGGGGCTGGAGCAGGTGAGCGAGGCACGCAGGGGGCAAGGAAGTGGGAGAGGTGATGGCTTGGCCACCTGTGCCCCTGGGGGACTTGAGCCATCTCTCTGAGCCATGGAGGATGCTCAGCAAGGAGGGACAGGATCCGATTCATGTTCTGAGTCCCTCTGGCTGTGTGTGCGAAGTGGACTGCAGGGACCGGGAAGCCCAGGGAGGAGGTGCCTGCAACTGTCCAAGTCAGAGAGGGCGGTGGCTGGACCCAGGTGGGGCAGTGGACACAGTGAGAAGTGCTTCGACTCTGGAATCATTTTAAATGAAGCAGCAGTGGGATTTCATGAGGATTACAGGGGAGGCGTCAGGATGAAGCCAAGTCTGTCCTGAGCACCCGGGAAAATGGGATTGCTGATCGCTAAGAAGGGAATCCACAGTGGGCAGGTGTGCAGGCAATCAGGAGCCCAAAGAGACTAGATCTTAAATGTTCTCAGCACAATAAACGGAACAATAATTATTCACAGTGCAATATATAAATGTATCAAATTAACTCATTGTACACCTTAAACTTGTACACCATGTTATATGTCAATTACATCTCAATAAAAATAAATTTTAAGAAGAAAGAAATCAGGAGCCCGTTTCGGGACATGATGAGTTTGAGACACCTATCAGACATCCCAGGAGGCAGCCCATCTGGGGTCTGGAGTTCAGGGGCGAGGTGTGGGCTAGAGAGAGATTAGGAATGCTCAGTGTTGAGATGGTACGTCAAGCCCTAGGTCTGCACGGGGTCAACCAGGGAGTGAGCATAGCCAGAGAAAGAGAGGACTCGGGGCCGCAGGACACAGACAGGCACATGCCCAGACCACACTTCACCCGGCTAGCCCAGCCAGGACAGAGCCCCGTGCTCCTTGCTGGTGGGGGACCGCTGACCTCTCCCCTCTCTCCCAGGGCCAGTGCTCCCAGATGTGCCGCAACATCTTCATCGTGGAGTCTGTGTGTGTGGGCTGGTTCTCCCTCGAGTTCCTCCTGCGTCTCATCCAGGCGCCCAGCAAGTTCGCCTTCCTGCGGAGCCCGCTGACGCTGATTGACATGGTGGCCATCCTGCCCTATTACATCACGCTGCTGGTGGACGGCGCCGCCGCGGACCGCCGCAAGCCCGGCACAGGCAACAGCTACCTGGACAAGGTGGGGCTGGTGCTGCGCGTCCTGCGGGCGCTGCGTATCCTGTACGTCATGCGCCTGGCCCGCCACTCGCTGGGGCTGCAGACGCTGGGGCTCACGGCCCGCCGCTGCACCCGCGAGTTCGGCCTCCTGCTGCTCTTCCTCTGCGTGGCCATCGCCCTCTTTGCCCCCCTCCTCTACGTCATCGAGAACGAGATGGCCGATAGCCCCGAGTTCACCAGCATCCCTGCCTGCTACTGGTGGGCTGTCATCACCATGACAACTGTGGGCTATGGCGACATGGTACCCAGGAGCACGCCTGGCCAGGTGGTGGCGCTCAGCAGCATCCTCAGCGGCATCCTCCTCATGGCCTTCCCCGTGACCTCCATCTTCCACACCTTCTCCCGCTCCTACCTGGAGCTCAAGCAGGAGCAAGAAAGGGTGATGTTCCGGAGGACCCAGTTCCTCATCAAAACCAAGTCGCAGCTGAGCAGCATGTCCCACGACAGTGACATCTTGTTTGGAAGTGCCTCGTCAGACACCAGAGACAACAACTGAGCCCAGAGGACACACCCCGCCACCGCCACCGCCAGGACACCCCCAGCCCTACCTGCCCTCTGAGGCTTGAAGCTATCGCCATCACTGCAGAAGCCTTCAAAGGCACGTGCTGCTTCTGAGCGCAGCCCTGGCCTAGGAGTGACCGAGCCACGCCCCAGGGAGGATGTCCCAGCATCCATCCGCAGGGGGTCCCTGGTCCTCAGAGTCCAGAAGTGAAGCCCAGCACACAGCCCTGTCGGTCCCCCCGCCCGCCCCAGCCCCCATGCCTGTTTCCCTAATAAGGAAATGGCTTGTTCTTTCCACCATGTAAATAACATGCCCAGCAAAGACTTGCTTTCTGGGGCTGCCTAGAGAAAAAATACAAACGGCAGCAGCTACACGTCTGTCTTCAGTGTGGATCATGTGCAATTAAAGAAAACCGGTGAAAAAGAGAGAAAAGGTCTTCCACGGAGCTCTCTTAAGAGAGGAAACGGCGCTTCCCAGCAAGGCCAGCCAGTGTGGGAACCAGAAGTAAAAGGGCCTGTTTCCTTGGGTCCTTCATGCCTGGTGGGGTTCCCCGTGCGGTTGGAGGAAAACAGGGCAGGTACCTTTGGGAAACTGCTGGTAAAGACTGCAGTCCCTCGCTCTTCTTTCTCTTTGATTCCTCCCACCTCCAGGCCTCTCTTTC